CTGCCAGCCAGCCAGCCAGCCAGCCAGCCCGCCGGCTGGCTCCGAGGCGGCGGCGGCGTTGCAGAGCGTCTCCTGCGCATGCGCAGGAGACGCTCTTGCACTTTCGGGGGGATTTAAACATCCCCCCGAAATTTTTTTTAACTTTTTGCATTTTTGTGCACACGTGGGGACTGGCCCACGTGTGCACAAACCTCCCCCTCCCCCCCACCTGCCCCCTCCGTGCTGATTTAGCGATCCGCACGGAGGGGGCAAGTTGGCTATTAGATATATAGATGGGTGGCACTCTAAGATGGTCTTGGGTAACTCCTGCATGTCTCCCAGAGGTACTTTTATGTTGCTAGCACGAGCATTTCTTCTTTCTCCTCTCTTCCTGTACCTTAGGCTGTGCCTCAGGTGGTAACTTGCATTTCACTCCATCCCACTGCTCGTTTGGCCTCATTTTCCCACTTTCCAGTGCTTCATAGATTACTGAGGTTAATGTCTGAAAAGCCTCCTTCACATTCTGGCTGGTCTTAGCTGACGTTTCTATGTACTTTGCTCCTAGCGAAGATGCCAGTTTCTCAGCCTCTTTCTGCCCAACCTTGCGTTCGGCCTCCAAGTCACTCTTGTGGCCAACCAGCACAAAGGCCACGTGATAAGGCTTGACAGTCTCCATCACTTCCTGGTGCCACTTCTTGATGCTCTCGAAAGATACTCGGTTGGTCAGATCAAACATCAGCATTCCACCTGCTGAGTTGCGGTAATACGAACGAGTCACAGATCTGCATCACAAGAAAGGAACACCTGGTTAAGGATCTCTATTCTCTGTTGGGTCTCCAAGTAGCCATCTTGCATTCAGTTTTTATCCTTCTGTTCCTTTAAGGGGCTTAGATGAAGGGTTGATTTCTGTGTGCTAGAGTCATCCACAGAGAACCAAATGTCTCCTTCCCTGAACTGTTTCCTCATGGGGTAGCAGCCCAAGGGGAAAGGCTAAAACTTCTGTATGCTGCCACCATCCCAACTAGAGTGGAAACAATGTGGATGAAAAGAGAGGACATGCCAGTAAGGTTTAACTGATGGAGTTCATAGGTTGGGTCTGAGGTCCCCATCCTGTGACCTTTGTCTCCTGGGAATCAACCCTAGGCATATTTGGTTTTACCTGCTTGTTTATTGTTTACAGGAGCCTCTAGGGATAAGTTAAGCTGGCCAGCCCAAAGTCACCTAAGTGGCAAACATCATGCCTTAGTGGGGAGCTTTTTCCAGTTCCAGTTTGACAGTGCAGTATTAGAGACTTTGCTCTGATCAGAGGATGCCAATTTTAACCTTATTTTCCTTTTTTTCCCTTTTGCATATATCCTCCATATTTTCTTTTTTATCTCTCGTATGTAGCTTCTATGCAGGCAGTTCGAAGTAGCATATTCTGCTGTAATTTACAACTTACAACCTGCCAGTGTCTGTATCGACAGTAAATTTATATCAGTGTGGCAATTAAGTTGGGCTCTTCCAGCAGCTGGCTGTTTTAAAATTCACTCCTTCCCCCCTGCAGTGTTTTAGCAATAGGCTTGAAGCCCTAAGCCTTTCAAATTTTATAATATAGCTTTATAAATTTTATAATATAGCACCTAAGTAAAGGTAAAGGTTCCCTTGCTCGAAAGCCAGTCGAGTCCAACTCTAGGGTTGCGGTGCTCATCTCCGTTTCAAAGCCGAAGAGCCAGCGCTGTCCGAAGACGTTTCCGTGGTCATGTGGCCGGCATGACTAAACACCAAGGCGCACGGAACGCTGTTACCTTCCCACCGCAGTGGTCCCTATTTATCTACTTGCAATTTCTTGCTTTCGAACTGCTAGGTTGGCAGGAGCTGGAACTAGAGACGGGAGCTCACTCCGTCATGCGGCACACTCGGGTCTCGAACTGCTGAACTACTGACCTTCCACAGCCTGCAGTTCAGCGTCTTAACCACTTGAGCCACCGCAGCTCCAATACAGCACCTACTGCCACTTTATTTTAAATTTATAATTTTAACTATCTATATATCTAATAGCCAACTTGCCCCCTCCGTGCGGATCGCTAAATCAGCACGGAGGGGGCAGGTGGGGGGGAGGGGGAGGTTTGTGCACACGTGGGCCAGTCCCCACGTGTGCACAAAAATGCAAAAAGTTAAAAAAAATTTCGGGGGGATGTTTAAATCCCCCCGAAAGTGCAAGAGCGTCTCCTGCGCATGCGCAGGAGACGCTCTGCAACGCCGCCGCCGCTGCCGCCGCCTCGGACCAGCTGGCGGGCTGGCGGTCAGATCTGCTGCAACCGTACTTTCTTAGTAGTTTGCTCACCAATCCCTTCTTTCACACATGCCTGAAATTGACAACAGCAATGCCTGCTGGAAATGACATTGGGAAAATGTTAACATGCATGCAGCAAATGCCAACGAATAGTAGTTTGCTCACCAATCCCTTCTTTCACACATGCCTGAAATTGACAACAGCAATGCCTGCTGGAAATGACATTGGGAAAATGTTAACATGCATGCA